ATTGATTTATCATGTACAAGTGATATAAGACTATTTATTAATTCAAACGTTGATATTTGAATTTCATGATCAAATTTATTTTGACTGTATAACATTAAATATGGCTCAACTATTATTAAACCTACAATCCATAATAGTAATTCACGATTATTTGTTCCTTCTTCATAATGCATCGATTAACTATTAAATATTTTTATGCCTTTCTATCGCAATATAACTTCTGAAGTAGGTTAAAATTTAAATGTATTTTATTTAAAAAATTTTAGAAGATCACAAAAATGGAATTCAACAGTGAAATCTCAACCAGATTTATTAGTTCGACGATTTCTATGCAAAAAAAGCAGATTTTTATTTTTTGTTTAAAATCATCAATATTTTCATTTTGATATGATCTTTCTTTATCTTTCTAGGTAGAATGAATTAAAAACGTTCTTTCTCTTATCTGTTTGATTTTATGTATGTATGTGTGTTTATTATCAAACCATTTTTTTCTCTCTATCCTCTCTCTCTGTTCATATCTATTCTTCTTCCACGTAAGATGTCATTAATCTACGTACTTATAATGAAATCTTTTTGTTTCTTTCTTTTTCTCCTCCTTTCTCATTATATTTTATTCTTATCGTTCTCTTTCATTCTTTTTGATCTTTATTTTATCAACTTCACCTTATAGAAACAACAAAAAATGAACAGGGTGGGTGTGGGTGTGGGTGTGGGTGGGTGTGGGTGTGAGTGTGGTGTGCATGTCTGACTTTTCTATACTCACACTCACACCCACACCCACACCCCACACCCACCCACACCCACACCCACAGCCACACCCACACCCACACCCACACCCTTTCTACAGTACCTCAATCAGCAATTTTCAAATCACCTGAATTTACTGAATTGAATGACGTCTGTTTTATCGACATAGAAGGACAATATGGAAAAGAACAAATTATTTTTATAGGTTTCTTGTTATTATGCATAAATATTATTTACAAAGAGTATCATTTATTTTCAGGTTCACAAGATGATTGTGAAAAGTTGAAAACATCTTTGGTTTCACCAGAATATTGGTAACATTTTCAGTACGTTGCCTGATTTGTTCATCAGAAGAACATCAAACGTACTGAATTCAACTACAAATTCTAGTCCTAAATTTATTGATGGCAAATCTCTATCTTCATTAGATGCAATCATCACGTTATCATCACAAAAATCATCTCAGGTATACATTTTATAAATGAGTTAATTATTTCCTAACAATTCTATCTATTTATACTAAATTCAAGTGTATAATCACAAAATAAAATAATAACAGTTGAATTTATATTTTATATGATGATCGTTCACAAACAGATATTTTCACAAAACATATATTTATTTTAGAAGATAGAAACAAATGCAATATAAGCCCAAGAAACTGTTCAGGATGCAGATGATGATGATACTAAAATGAAGCAGAATAATGATGTTGTTCTACATATCCAAAACCGCAAGTTACAACTAGATGTTATGATCAGCAAAGGACTAAAACCTTTAAATTAATATTGATGAAAGTATGTTCAACTCGGTATATTTCACTCATTTTTTCACCATAAAATGTACGATTAAGTGAAGAAATCACCTAAGATCATGATTCAAATAGTGCACTGTACAAGTATAACTTTTCACAACCAAACACGAACCGGAACCAATCGATATCCAGAAGATACTTCCATAGTCATAGTACGATTTTCGAATTGTTATTTCATACGAAAAAGTATAGTATTTAGTGGCCTACATGATCAACAACAAAAATGAAAGAGATCAAGGCAAATTCCACAAAGAAAAACAAGTGAATCAGGATTCACTTGTTGTCTTTTTGCTTCGAAAAACCGATTGATTTCGTTCAGTATATATTTGCTTATCGATAATAACGTAGGAATGAAATGTAGCGTTAGTGTCCAATGTCAAGATTGGGAATATATATATATACGTGAATATTTTTGCCATCACCAACCATACACAAGTTTATCTTTATTGATAATTCATTTTCTTCTTAAATGCTTCTATATAAATAACATTTTAAATTATTGAAATCTCATTAATTGCTGAGTTGAGCCGAGGTGTAAGATCATACCTGACACACGGGCGGGTTCGACGAGTTTGTACATAGATCGATGCTCCAGGTCAGGCCCACTGTCGGATATTCGATCGAGTTGTAGGACACGACATTAAAATAGTATTGAATATTATATTATTCAAATACTATAATAATAACCATCAAAAATCATTTCTATTATAATTAGTGTAACATTTAAGAAAATAGGTTCCAATGTATTAGAAATAATCCAAAGCAAATTATTAAAAAATGAACATTTTTGAAATATAGGTCTCTATTATCCTGCTAAAGATAAAAATAATTTTACTTTTCTTGGATACATTTTAGGTGCATGTACTACATTGGAAGAGTTTCCAAATGAATTATTTTACTATTTATTCACTTTCATCGATATTCAACATTTATATAGAGCTTTTTGAGGGACTCAATTCACGGCTGAACAACATATTTCAATCTTGTCAAAATTTATGTTTAATGTTCGATAAGAAAATTGATCCAGAATTGATGAAATTATATGCACTTTATGTTACTCGTTTGATAATTCCCACATCCATCTATTTTGATTTTAGTCAGTTTCTTAATTTGCAAACGTTGGTATTATGCAATACAAATTTAAACCATATGACACAAATTCAGTCTAAAATTATTCCCAATCTGACTCATCTATCGTTTTTGTTAGGATCTAAATTTACTGTACCACATCAATTAGTTTGTGATGTCTTCTCCAATAAATTTCTATTCCTTCGTTATGTTAATTTGTGCTGTATCGATGAATTCACTCGTCATTCATGGACTATATCATCTTCTCTCCAGTTTGTATCAATCCTTTCTTGTCAACCAACATGTATTCCAGCCATTCTTGCTTCCGATCCCCATCTTCATCATCTTCAAGTTCATGTTTTACATAACAATGATGATCTTGTCACTTCATCTTCATCACTAAATCATCCACTTCGACGACTGATACTTTGGAGTGATTCTACCGCACTCAATTTTAATGATATTGATAATATTCTTATTTATACACCTAACATTGAATATTTATATTTACAAACAATCTATTCTATGTCTTTTATCGATCTAGCTCATGGTTTGATTAATCGACTGCATTATTTATCTCAATTCGATTGTTATATTAAAGAAATGTTGTATAGAGATGATAGATGTGGTAATTTAACTACATTACATCAAATTCATCCATGTTTTAATCGAATTCAATTTATTGAAGAAAACAATGAGTTTCGAACTATTGCTACTAAATAGATTTTTTAATAAGTTAACAGATAACAGTTAGTAATTTTCAATAATCATTTCATTGATACTTTTCATTCATTTAACAAAAAATTTTATTAAACATTCGTTTTTATTTTAATAAATGATTCTCCGTAGACCAATTACTTAGTCTTTTACTCATAAAACCATGCGTCTTGTGTGTGGAAGCAGATTTTGGTGAAGAGAGAGCCAGACATAAGGAATCTAATTAGGGGTAGGATGTGGATGTGGATGTGAGGCGCCGGATGGATGATTGCATGAGCACAGTTGAACTGAAGACTCACATCCACACCCACACTCATACAGCAAACCCTTTTAGGATTTATGAGCGTTATGAACCCTTTCATAGATCCTTCACCGGTAGTATGTGAAGTTCATAAACTCCTATTTAATCCCTTCTTAGACGTTTTCTGAAAGGGTTTATGTCCATTGCATAAACGGGTGAAAAGGATTTGTTATACGTTGCACTTTCACAAATTCTTTAAACGTTTTTTTCATTCTACGGACTTTTTTTTTACAGTGTAAGCCACTGTCGAAACATATCTTATGATGGCTTTGAATCATTTCTCCATTATAAACTCACCAACTTTTTTTTCATTATTGTCATAACAAACATCGATTTTTAAACAGGACCCCGGCGCAAGGCAGAGAGAGGAGAGACTCGTAAAAAAGAATTGATGAAAAATACGCAATGAATCGTGTTTTTCTGTCGGAATCCATTTGATGACAGAGTCCATTTCACGCATCGACACTACAGTAATTGCTCAGAGAAAAAGAAAAAAATCATTTAAGAAGAATAATAATAAAATAAAATACGTTGTCGGCTTTTTTTTTCGTTTCTTTGGACACTACTAACGATTTTTTTTTATTTAATTGTCTTATTCTTCCTAATAGCATTTTCAATAGAAACTAAGTGGAGTTCGTCCTTGAGTGTCAACAAAAGAAATATTTTACATGATAGAAAAATCTAGAAAAATGAGCGATTGGCTGTATAAATAGATGACGTGCTTTCTTTACTTAAACAACGATTAGTTATGTACATTTTTACATTAGCAGTTTGTTAATCAATTAACGCTATATGGATGCACGAAAATCAAGTGAAAACATTGCTGCATTACGAAACGGTATCGTTACAACTACAACCGTGCCATCTGGTGCTAATTATTCGAGACGTCGTAATATCCAAAATTTCGTGCTGATCTGGCTCGATACCAATATCGATCAATCTAACGAACATTGTCAAGAAACGCTGTCACAATTAAGAAGCATTATCAATAATGTCAGCACTTTTACTAAAACGGACGAATGTGTTGATTTTCTCACTGAAGACGAAGACATAAAGGTTTTCTTAATTATCGAGGGCACGCTTGGTCAACAAATTACATCCCTCATTCATGATATTTTGCAACTTCATGCAATTTACATCTTCTGTAGTGATAAATCCATTAATGAACAATGGACAAAACAATGGAAGAAAATTAAGGGCGTACATACCGAAATAATGTTGATTTGTGAAGCACTTCAAGTGGCCGTGAAACAATGTAACCATGACTCCATTGCCATGAGTTTTATTGCAGTAAGTGAAGAAACTTTTAATCAGAATCTGAATCAATTGGAACCTTCCTTCATGTACACCCAAATATTCAAGGAAATTGTCCTTGAAATGGAACACGATGAACAAACCATTAAGGACTTGGCTTTATTTTGGCGTCATCACTACCTCAATAATATCTCTCAGCTGAACGTCATCGCTGAATTCGAACGTGATTACTCTCCACAAAGATCCATTTGGTGGTACACTCGTCAACCCTTCGTCTATGAGATGCTCAATCGAGCACTTCGTATGTTAGAAGGTGACATCATAATTAATATGCGCTTCTTGATTCGTGATCTTCACCATCAAATTGAACAATTACACAAACAACAGGTTAGTGATTATCAAGGGCATCCTTTTATTGTCTACAGAGGACAGGGCTTATCAACCACAGCTTTTGAAAAACTTGTCAGAACTAAAAATGGACTGATGTCATTTAACAATTTTTTGTCTACCAGTAAAAATCGAGAAGTTTCCCTCGGCTTTGCTCAAGGTGCTTTGACAACTGACACGATTGGTATCCTCTTCCAAATGTCCATTGATCCTTCTGTCTCATCCGCTCCCTTCGCTGCTATCCAAAACGTTAGTTATTTCCACAACGAAGAAGAAATTCTCTTCTCTATGCATACTGTCTTTCGCATCGTCGACATTACACAAATTGACAATAACTATCCGCTTTATCAAGTAGAACTTAAATTGACTTCCGATGATGATCAACAACTTCGTACACTCACCGAACGTATTCGAGAAGAAGTCACAATTGGAACAGAATGGCAACGAATGGGTAACTTGCTCCTGAAAATAGGACAGTTTGATAAGGCTGAAGAGCTCTATAAATTACTGCTCGAACAAACATCTGAAGAAACTGACAAAGCACGATATTATCATCAGCTAGGCTACATCAATAATGCACACGGTGATTATGAGAAGGCTATTTGTCATTATGAAAACTCAAGTGAAATCTGCGAAAAAACTGTTCCTTTAAATTATCCTTTGTTGGCTATTACCTACAGCAACATCGGTGAGGTATATCGAAACATGGGAGAGTATTCAAAAGCACTCTCGTCTCATGATAAAGCATTTGAAATTCGACAAAAATCTCTTCCTTCAAATCATTCTGATTTTGGTACTTCGTACAACAACATTGCTTTGGTTTATCACAACGTGGGAGAGTATTCAAAAGCACTTTCATTTTGCGAAAAAGCACTTGGAATCTTTGAAAAAACTCTTCCTTTAAATCATCCTGTGTTGGCTATTACCTACAGCAACATCGGTGAGATATATCAAAACATGGGAGAGTATTCAAAAGCACTTTCGTCTCATGAAAAAGCATTTGAAATTCGACAAAAAACTCTTCCTTCAAATCATTCTGATTTTGGTACTTCGTACAACAACATTGCTTTGGTTTATCGCAACGTGGGAGAGTATTCAAAAGCACTTTCCTTTTACGAAAAAGCACTTGAAATCTTTGAAAAAACTCTTCCTTTAAATCATCCATTGTTGGCTACTGCCTACAACAACATCGGTGAGATATATCAAAGCATGGGAGAGTATTCAAAAGCACTTTCGTCTCATGAAAAAGCATTTGAAATTCGACAAAAAACTCTTCCTTCAAATCATTCTGATTTTGGTGCTTCGTACAACAACATTGCCTCAGTGTATCATAAAATGGGAGAGTATTCAAAAGCACTTTCCTTTTGCGAAAAAGCACTTGAAGTCTTTGAAAAAACTCTTCTATCAAATCATCCTTTGTTGGCTACTACCTACAACAACATCAGTGTGATATGCCAAGACATGGGAGAATATTCGAAAGCACTTTCATTTTCCGAGAAAGCATGCGAAATTCGACAAAAAACTCTTCCTTTAAATCATCCTGATTGGGCTATTTCCTACAACAACATCGCTTCAGTGTATGACAATATGGGAGAGTATTCAAAAGCAGTTTCATTTTTCGAAAAAGCACTTGAAATATTTGAAAAAACTCTTCCATTAAATCATCCCAATTTGGCTACTTCCTACATTAGCATTGCTTCAGTGTATGACAATATGGGAGAGTATTCAAAAGCACTTTCATTTTCTGAAAAAGCACTTGAAATCTATGAAAAAACTCTTCCATCAAATCATCCTGATTTGGCTACTTGCTACGGCTGCATTGGTGGAATATATCAAAATATGGAAGAGTATTCGAAAGCGCTTTCGTTTTACGAAAAAACATGTGAAATTTTTGAAAAAACTCTGCCTTCAAATCATCCTTTGTTGGCTACTTCCTACAACAACATCGCTTTAGTGTATAACGACATGGAAGAGTATTCAAAAGCACTTTCATTTCTTGAAAAAGCACTTGCAATCTTTGAAAAAACTCTTCCTTCAAATCATCCTTCTTTGGCTAATTCCTACGACAACATCGGTGTGATACATCAAAACATGGGAGAATATTCAAAGGCACTCTCATCGTTCGAACGTGCTCGTGATATTTTGCGACACTCATTGTCCCCGAATCACCCTACTATTAGAACTGTGGGAGAAAATATTGAAATTGCAAAACAAAAATTGCAAGGTAATACTTGATAAATAAAAAGAATATTTTTTACTTCTTTGAAGCTTCCAAACGCTTACTTAATTTCTCGCACGTATAGAGAAAGTCTCAGTAAGTAAGGGTGTAGATGTGGATGAGGGCATGGGTGGGCGTCGGCGTGAATGTGAGGTGTGGTGTGGATGTGGAACGCGGGATGTGGGTTAGTGTGGGTGTGGGGTGTCAGTGTAGGCATCCTTGTAGGTGTGCATTTTCTACCTTCATCAACACCCACATCCACACTCACATCTTCATCGTCATTTTATTTTTCTTTTTCTCTCTCTGATGCAAGCAAAGTTAAAGTGGTTGAAAGCAGTTATAATGCTGGCATTGAATTCATTAGAAAAAAAATAATAACATTCCTTTTTTTTCTCACGAAAAACATACATACGTGATATTTTCCGTTCTCATTTTCAGCACCACACTTTTCTCAATAGTTGCACGTGAAAAAAGTCAAAAACAAAACCATTTATGAATAAGATAAAAGTACATCGTTCCTTCTAAATTTCTTTTATTTTTTTCATTATTTTGTCACTTTTCCACATGGCAACTTCATCATCGCCATTAAGTAACAACAAAAAAAACTCGTCTGGTTCTGACAGTCGAATCCGAATTCATTCAATGACAAGAACAAAGAAGAATGGAAACGATATTCGGATTTTGAAAATGATTTCATCGAAGAAGCATTTCAAAGAAAAGAAAAGAAAGTGCAACTGAATGATTATATCATTAACTTCAAACATAAAGTACAGTTCAAGAAAGATAATATTTATAGACAGAGACCAGTAAAATGTGAAATAGTTGATCTCAGTCAGTATGTGAGAGAAGAAAGATTTTCATATCCGGAGAGAACGTTGAAATTCTTATTTAACAGAATCGATCTGTATTGACGAATACAAATCAATCTGCTGGTCTCAACTTTTGCTTTTCAGCAACCGATTATCCGATCATGAGGCCACACAAGTGTGGGTGCTCAATAGACATACAATACAACACTAGTACACTATTTTTATGTTAGTGCCACGAGCGAGATTCGAACCTCGCATCTTCCGATTACCGGTCGGCTGCTATACCAATTGAGCTACCGCGGTAGTTTCATATAGTGTAGGGTGGTTCCATGGTACTTGTGACACGATATACACAACCTTCACCAAATCGTTTGAAACTTTCAGGGCTTGTGCAATAATCATTTCTAAGACTTTTTTACCATTGGAAAAAGTTATACCATGTCTTACTGAAGAGCTGTAGTCCAAATACCAAGTATCCTCCGGAATGATTCTTTAAAGTACGTTCTGCTTTGTAACCCACGTAGTCTTGCACTACTTTATGCTATAGAAATTCTGATGATAGATTCGGATTCCTCATCATCAGGGCTATCAGAATAGACATCTTTTAAAAGTTTTTGGATCGATCTGAGGGCGGTGGGTCTCTGGAAACCCTTTCTATAGCTGGATATTCCAGGCCCAAAAACTCCATTAACAGAGAACTCCGAACATAGTGAAGTATCACATTTGATAGAGCAATAAAAGATCTATCGAAGTATATGTGCGCCGTCGGGGGGGGGGGGGGGGTAAGGTTTCCCTGAGATAGGGCTTCCAGAAAACCAACATGGGTTTTTGGTACATTATAAATTTTTGTTGGTCAAATTCAATCAAAAATATCTGAAAATACTTCGTTTTATAGATCGTGCCATACTAGTACGTAGAAGATCGCTTAGATCCGTCGAGATTCTACAAAGATCTCTGGAGAACTGTCTTGGATCTAGCTTTACTAAATCCACGTGAGAACTTGAAAATGATGAGAAAGAGTAGCAAGAGATTACTTTGTCATGGTCTTATACATGTGCCTTTCTCGTATAACTGGTCTCCCTTTGTTCTGTGGTATTTTCTCTTCTGCTTTCTTTCTGTTCTGTTTTGTGTGTTGTTCGGTTTGTTTCTTAATGTATCTCTTCCATTATCCAGTAAATTTCTGCACGTACGGATATTTCGTTCTTTTTTCGTTTCTTTTTGTGAATCTG